TACAAGAAATTGGATACTTCTTTTAAACTACGTCTACATAATAATGATGTATAATTATTATTAGGGTGAGAACAGACGAACGTAATTTTATGAGTTGTGAGTCACGTTTTTTTGAGTAGTATAAGTTCGACTGAATTTCGGTTAGAGCACCGGAATAACTTTTATTCATTGTTTTTAAGTGTTTGTACGTGTGTTTGTATCATATACGGTAATGAATTCATGAAACATAGTGTGCATTTATAAAGCATTAGATGATTTTAGAAAAACAAAAATAAAGTTTAGGCAGTTTCATATACATTAGTAGCCGTAGTAACTTCTAGTGAAACCTTACCTATTTTTGCCGCCAAACCGTAATGTCAGCTTTACTGTGTTCCAGTATCCGGTGCTGGTGAAATTACAGGCACATGGGACTTGTCAACTTATGTCTCAGGGTGAAGGGCGCCAGTTGCAGTGCCCCTCAGATCTTTGCGATTTAAAGCTCTGAGTGGCACTGCAACTGTTATGGACAGGCGTGTACCTTACCATCAGGCGCACGACTTGTTCGTCCCGCAACTTGATATTATAAAAACAAATGTAAACATCCGGATCAATTTGTAATGCCAAAAAATGTTTCCCTCACCCCGTGTCCACCCGCACAAGCACGTCATACAGTGCCACCAAAGTTTTCTTGTAATTGCGCGCGTGATTCAGCAGACAAGTAACTTACATTGCGTCGTCATGTCGCACAAATTGTACTTTAAGGCGAGTTCCGGAGGAAAAGCGGGAAAAACTGTATTGTTTGTTCAAATGGTTTAGGTATTTACTATTAAATAACGGTCTTACAAAAAATATAAGATACATCTATGGATATTGTCCAAAGAATGTGCTAATCTGTTACACGATAGGATGTACTTGGCCTGATCATATAATCCTGAGAACAGGCTAAACTAAAAGTGTAAAACTAACTATTTAAAAACAAAATATCTAACTTTGCATATAATTTTTATACGGAAATATTTCTCTTTAAGTACTGCAAAGAACCTGCTAAATTTTGGTTTACAAATGAAGCCCTGACGTTTTTAAATTCACATTTATCCCAAAATTTGAAAATTGCCTAGCAGTTAAACGACGCAAAGCGCCGCCTGCTACTTTGTCAGTCGCCATAGGGCGCTTGTTGACGTCGGATCTGTGTCGGATTCATATTAATTATCAGCGTGCGGGTTGTGGAATTTAAAAGGCGGTCTTCCACACCTCACCTTCTAAGTAGACTTGCGTTGAAATAGCTCGCCTTAATATGAAACAGAATGCAAAGTAAATTAAACGGCTCAAAAAACGCGACTCACGACTCGAAAGATTGCGCTAGTCTGGTCTCACCCTTACTGCCAAATGGTTAAATAATGAAACAGAAATTGATATTATCGTATTATTAAATTGAATAGAGAAGCTGAAAATTATTATTTTTTTTAATCAAAATTTGATATAGGTTCTTAAGATATGTCTCAGTGAACGGAAATTAAATTATGGATTTGGAAAGAAAATATTGCGAAATGAAGTATTAAGATGTCCCGACGGAAATACTGTGATTGGACGGCCAATTGGCAATGCCAATAATGAATACTGGAAAAATTATCCGAGAGTTTTTAGCAAAGTCATTTACATCTTATAGTATCTGCACCGGTGTTTTATGGGCACATTAACTTAGACATCTTACATACTTAATTATATATGAATTGTTCATTATGATTATCACATGCATAGCAAGGCGTAATCAGCAGCTTACGGGGAAATGTATTGATTGAAAACGAAAAAAAAATCAGATCTAAATCGCGTAGGGTAGGGTAGGGTGATAATATCAATGATCGACATTTTACGGGAAGTGACAGAGAACCAAGGTCGTCGACATAGCTAGTAGAACAAGCAAGCTGAAGTGGCAGTGGGCTGGCCATATCTGACGAAAAACCGATAATCGATGGGGGATACGAGTTCTTAAGTGGAGACCACGACTCGGCAAACGTAGTGTAAGACCTCTAGCCAGATGTGATGATTTGCGAAAGGCTGGTGGCAGCAGATGGATGCGACAAGCCGAGGACCAGGCGAAATAGCGCGCTTTGAGGGAGGCTGACGACGATGATGATGATGAAGATTTTTAATTACCCAAAAACATTCCAATTTACGATAAATACGGTTTACAAAAATATAAAAAGGCGATAAAAAAAATATTTTTTATTTTAACCACATGATTTAAAAGAAAATTCTAAATAAAACAAAACATAACAATGAGTAGTACTGCAGTCTTAAGTTTGAATGGGATTTTTCATCAGAAGACACACTGGACGACAAATATGCGCGTAGATGCCAAAAATAGTACCATTCCCAATTTGAAAACCAACCACGAATATTTAAAAACCCGATAATGGAATTATGTTTGCGGTTCGTTTCTCTAGTGATGCATTCTCTCATTTCTCTAGGGACATGAAAAATCCCATAACTAAGAATAGAAATGTGAAACGCATACATTAAAAATATCGATAGCATTATTTTGTCATCGTTATAGACAATAAAGGACTAGCTATTCTCGCGACATAGTCCGCGTTTACGTAAAGCGTTTGCCATGCATGTATTCATTAATTAACCATTCGGCCCTATTAACCACTACAGTTGGTTGGTCTGTGGGAAGTGCTAGTTTTGTACCCTTGTTTTCAATTACTATGCTTCACCATACTCGAATATTTATATCAGGGTTGATTTATGTATGAAACAAATTAGGAAACAATTGTTCTAAATCCGTTTTGATCCGGTGTTTTGATAAGTCCTCAGAATCTTACATGAAATTACTTACTGTAAATAGTGTACTTTGACATTTTGATAATAAGGTAAATTTATTCCTAAGAGTTTACAAAGCACTAGGTTAAGTGTAACCAGCGGTACTATGGGTTACAGTACAAGAATTTTAAATTTAAACTATCTGTAGGTCCAGGCAGCCATCCCTACTAGGGTCCTAGAAACAAATCAATACTACCGATATTTCTCGTTCTCACACAATCAAAATTCGGTCGAGGTAGTCACGCTGCGGAATTCAGATAAAATGGATCAATGCGATCTAGCAGACTTTAAGGGAACTATTATGATGAGAAACTTTCCTGAGATAAACCTACTGTGCAAAATTTATATAGTTTACACTTTGTACATGTTACCAATGTACATACACATATATAGTCACTGTATCTTGAATGCAAAGGCTGGAAATGAAATGAACATAATAGGACTTCATGTGACTTATTTTAATCTCATGCGATCATTGTTTGGGATAAATGGGCCAGAAAACGGTGTGCAAAGAAAGTTTCTCTATATCCTTCAAACTAGCTTTGGCCGCAATGGCACTCTTGTAATATCAAGTCGTGGTCTATTGTTCCTTTTATTATGTTAGACATTTTTTTTTATCTTGCTACTTCAATTTAAGCTATTGTTCCACATTTTTGCGCTTTCTAATGGGCTTCCGTGTAATACGCTATCTTCATCTTTCCGTTTCCCTTTTTCTTTAGTCTGATCCATGTAGCTTATCTCATTCGAGGGTAACTTATTATGCAAACCTTTTGTTTCATCAGTAGTGATCTCAAAGATGCGTTTACACATTTGATAAATTTTAACCAAAATTACACCCAAAACTAATGCAATGTCTTTTAGTGATTCATGAGTATGCAGTTGTGCATGTATCAAAAGGATAGTAATTACGTATGTACACACGCCGTCACGTTACCAGAACACAAATAAAAGCCCAAAACTAATGCATTGTTTTTTCAATAGTTTGATCGGTTATTTTACTTTTTTCTATTTTAGGTGTAATTTATTTATTCATTTTACAGGGATAACAACAATCCGGGCGGTGTCGTGGTGAATGTGCACCGAGTCTACGGCGCCGACCCAACCGGCGGGAGGTAAACCCGGGGGCTTTTAGTGGGGTAGGCCCTCCAGTTTGGAGGTCCCCACATAACCCCTGAGTCTCCCTGGGCTCAGGGGTATCTATAAAGACTTCCCCCGCGTAAAAAAAGGGATAACAACAATACTACTTGGTATGTTTACATTCAGTGTTGATTAATTCTATTATACGTGCACGTACAATCAGCAACATTTTCCACAAATTACTATTAAAAATGAAATTGTCGTGTGTGATGGGTAAACTAAAACCAAACCAAAACTAAAAGAAATAAAAAGTAAACAAAAAAGAAATCTGGGGGATGATATCGTAGCGATTTAGTCATTGAACTGCTTTTTCGTATTCACGTGTGACAGTGAACGTCAACGAGTCCAATTTTAAAGTCGTTCGATCCAAATGTCGTCATAGCGAATTCTGGTATATGAATCGATCTTAAATCGACTCTAAACAACAAGTCATACGTATTGTGCTAAAATTTTGACAGTTCTTTCAACAGACTGGTCGACTAAATATCAAATTTCACAATCCAAGATGTCCGTCATTAGTCGGTACGTTTCGATTCTACTCATATCAACGTTCGTTCAAGTGATATGTGAATACCCATTTTGGATAGGACTGCGATCGAACGACTACGTAACTTCAATGATATTTTGATAGCTTAAACTTAAGTGAATGGCAATAATGGTCTCAATAATAGTTTTGTTTAAGTTTAGAATCCGGTAAATAAAATAAATACTACACAAATTATTGCACTGAGAAAGAATACAACTTAGAGGAACTCCCTTGCCAGCATTTCGATTCATCCGAAGAACACAGTCCGGGAATTTATCCTCCTTACGCTGTATAATCACAACGGAATACATAATCTCATTATTCAAACATATATGATGTTTTTTAAAGGCCTCTGCAGGACTGATTTTTTTATGCGTACTTATGGTTCTTAGTGCACGTTTGAAGAACAACCACCCTATTCGTTTCAGATAAGTTACTCCAAAATGTGATACCGTATGACATCCATGAGTAAAATTATGCAAAGTATGTTAAATGGAAAAAACGAAACTTTTTACGTTTAGTGATTAATACTCACTTAATCTTTGATTGTCGCATGAATTGTTGGATCTTCCTCGCTGCTTGATTCTGACGCCTCTGAGAATATGTCCTCCTGCACAAATATGCAATCCATTTTGATAGCAGCGATAGCTATTTTAAGTAACGTTAGGTAGGTACGTAGCAATAATAGACTTACTTGACGAGAGTGGCTTGTGCGAGTCGATGCTCGCGATGCGTACGATATCCTCGTTGTATTACTGTCGCCGCAGCATGCATTTGTTTCAGATATGCGAACTGATTGGACAAGAAAAATTAAATAAATTAAACAGTTGTCTCACAAGGGATGATACTGGAACCATTTTTGTTTAATAGGTCTGTGTTGTAAAGGTAAATTGAAGGTGTCAGTCAAGGTTCCATATTGTGCCCAATATAATTTTATACACGTAAGATTGTTGTTGAAAAATGAAGTTGTGAAGAATAAATAGGCACTGAATTAAAATGCAAGGGTAAATATACAATTTCAATTCTCACATTGTTGTGGATAAACTAGAAGGACTGTCAATTCTTTACCGAAGAGCGGTAATCTTTTTTTTTTGTCAGAGTTCTGCAAATTTGCGCGCGCAAAATGTTACAATTGCATAATGCTGCCGCCATTAATAGAAAGGGCACTTGTGACAAAACTCAAAATCAAGAAAATGATATTTAAAAACATGAAATTTAAAAAATATTTTTCTTCGGCGGTAACTTCATACTTTATCCACCTAGGAAAAATAAAAATAGTGACAGATTTTTTACTCATCATGACAGTATACATAATAATTTTTTTGAAAAAATGTAACATGCGCCCTTTCATCTAACAGCGACAGAATATTCACCTCATCAATTTCAGGTCACAGATTTGAAAATTTGAAACTATGGAATTGATTGTATTTATAAATACCATGTATTATTTACTACGGTTAAGGAACGACTGAATAATACTGTCCATAGACAGTGCAATTTAACGGACGCCTAAAACGCGTCGCTCGGTTCACTTGCTGCGCTTCAGTAAATTAATTAATTTATTTCTCCACAGATACACAATTTATACTTATTCTAAAGACCTTGCAAACCTGGACATCAGGTTGTTGGCAAGACAACGCTCTTTTACATTACCTATATGTATATCTATTCTAATTAATTGTTCATTAATTAAATTACATTAAATAAAAGCTAATTTTCTAAAGTAAATCTGTCATTGCTAAATAATAATTTATTACACTAAAACATTACATGACTTAGCAATAATTTTTTTAATTTCTTTTTCAACACTTTTTTTACCAACCTTCGTATTTTCTCTGAGCCAGTCTATTTTATTTTATATTTTTGGTATAACATATTTTTCAGTTCTTTTTCCATAATTATTATTAACTTTACATTTATATGAATTCCTATTATACATATACACTTTTTGTGTTATACCTGTTATATACCAATAATTTATCCTCACTCTTATAATAATTTTCAATGGCTATCGCA